TGGAATAGTGAGGTTTTGGATGAACTATATCTATAAAGGCCCAAGGTTGACTTTTTATTGAATTTTTTATATGGTTTAAAGATTGAATCCTTTTAATATGGAATCAATTCCTAAAGCTTGTATTGGCTCACATGTTTGACTAGATTTGAGTCGTTTGGTGTTGGATTGATCGGAAAGGCTGTTGTTGATTGATTTAATCTCGTCGGGTGGAGGTAAGTGTCACGCCCCGACCTTGGGGAGCGCGACCGGCGCTCAACAGAGTTGCCCCGTTCGAGAAAGCCTGCACAATATCGTCTACCCAACTCACCCATGAATAAAGAGATAAATATATTTCATTAATTAGACGGTAAGGGGCCATGTGTACAACACCGGTTCATTTCCATAAGTTACATCATTAACAAGTTCCCAAAATAGTACACTATACAATCATAGTTCAAGCGGAACAGATGATATGATTACAATATTTTTAGTTCAACCTTCCCAAATTAATATACAACTCACACTATGTCTACAGAGCCTCTAACAGAAACAAAAGAGTGCTAAGACAGTACCAGCAACAAGGCCTCCGCTATACCTCAAAATGCAATGTACAAAGGACAAAAGATACAGGACCCCGGAATGAAGTGGGGCTCACCAAGTCAGCTAATGAGAGGGTGTGTTGTTGTCACTGATCAATATCACCTGCTATGGAACCACATGCATCCATTAAAGATGCAGCGCCCCTGGCAAAAGGGACATTAGTACATATGGAATAGTACTAGTATGTAAAACTAAACACCCTCTCATTATAACAATTAACGCTAAATGGAGAAGGAAACATGAAATCATTAAGAGATTCAAACCGCATCAAGGTGTCAAGTTAGAGGAAACATAATTTCAAGTAAGTTTCAATCTTTTTAAGTTGGGATATCTTTAGAACCGATACACCACCGTATTTTTAAAGGGAGTCCGATCTCAGCCCGATCAGTTAAGTCGTATCACCCCGAGACATCCACTCATAATACCACTATGTGCGCGGCATGACGTCCGATCTCAGCTCGATTGGCTAAGCCGTCTCACCACAATGCCGTGTGGATTGACATCATATCACACCTCGCTAGCAATAATCTCATCCCATTTAAGGGAAGACATATCAACACATCAATCCCATCCCATATAAGGGGAAACAACCTCATCACATTAACACGGGGATTTACCCCTCAATCACTCCTACACCGGCATGTGTAGTTTCAAGGTTAGGTTATTTTGACCTACCCTTCCTCGGTGACTAAACGATACTCCCAAAGCATTTACTATTAAAAGGATTCACAACTCATTTCAACATCTTGTTCTCGCCTCTCTGTTTCATTGGCATTAATAGTAGAAAGTGTAATATCATTTTTGGCACGTTGGCCGTATTTCATATTCTATACTTACTGTTTCACTTTCAAACATCATCACGGATCATCAACAAAAAACATTTCTATTCAAGACTCTAAGTACATATTTGAACAATTAAAGGTCTTAGGCACATGTGATTTCTTACACAATTCGATATGATAGCTTTCATTAGAATCGCGTTTTCAAGTCATAACATATTAACACACATCCCATACTTAAATCACCTTCTCAAATAGTAACTCCAACATAACAAGAACATTTGGAATATCTATTTAACACATACAGATTGAGATTTTTTATCTAAATATGAGACAAATATGTTCAGATTAACAACAATTACTATTCAACTGTAACAAACAAAAACCATGACCTATTGTTATGAAAAAGGGGTAACTTAATCTTAAAGAGTATGTACAGAAGGATTATTGGTACTCCTAAGAGTTCAGGTTTGTAAAACTATCTCATATATCTACAGCCAATCAATCAGACATGAACATAATAAAGAAGACTCAGAGAGTTGTTCTTAGAATTAACATCCACATATATAAAGGAAGAGAGCATTTAAAACACTTGTATTTCTCAAACTTCAGTTAAATGGTGAAGGATGTAAAGTATGAACTCTCAGGTTTTGTCCTAATGAGGAATATCAGACAGTGTTCTCGACCATAAGACAACATGATGCAGGAAAATAGTGTATAGAGATGAAGATCATAATAACGTCATAGTAGAACTATTGACAGAAACCCTAAAGTTTGAACAAGCACGGGAGTCATTAGAGCACATTAAGGGAGTTTAATCATATTAGCTATATGAAAGTTATTAAAGCTCATAAAGGAAACTTAATCATATAGACTGTTTAGGCTCAGAGATGCAAGTCATTAAAGTCATGTAACAGTTTAGTCAATACCAATTTAAGAGATTCTGAAAACATGAGGAATGACCACAGATCAATAACACTTTAATATGAACTGGGATAACACTTTATAGGCTAATGACAAATATTATAAGCTAATACAGTTAATAGAAAAAACAACAGCATGTACATAGCATTCAAGTAAAACAATTAGAAGAGAAGAGGGTGAAGGTGCACTGACCTTTCGTAGGGAAGCATGCCAAATAGAACTCAGAGACTTCAACCAAATGAATACCTCGGAGCAAAGTCAGAATTCGAGTAAGAGCTTAGTCGAAAAAACTCTACAACTACTATACTGATTTTTGCTTTTGCTAAGTGTTCTTGGTGTATTCTTTTCAGTGTTAAGTGGTTGTGTAGATGATGTTAGGTGGTTTTGTGGATGATGTGTAGATGATGTTAGGTGAGAACATTAAAGGCCTTATTTATAGTGCCATTAAGGCTCTAGGGTTTCAATGGATTCAAAATCATGAGTGGAAAGTGACAACAAATTGATGATGATAGCAAAATCGAGTGAAACATTTGAGAGACAGAGGGGGAAAATTATGAACAAACTTACCTAAGTGAAGAAGGTTGACCGTTGAAGGCAAAACCCATCGGTCAAAGCTCCAATGTCCAGAGGTCATTGAATTTGACCTCTGCACTTCAATTAATCATGATGAGGCTATGAAATGTGCTTTTGCATGCTCTAATTTAACAGAACATAAAGGAAATCTGGAGATTTGAAGTTCATCTTTGAGTCTAGGGTTTCAGATTAGGGGTTTCGAATTTAATCAACAAAAATAGAAACTGAAATCAACTGGCTTCGTAACATAAGTTGATTAAACTGAAACCCGCAGATGAATCTATAAGTTGGATTTGAAAGAACGAAGGAGAAATTAGGCCAGCGATGTTCTGAGCTTAGGGTTCTAGAATTGGGTTTTGAATTTTGAGTGTTGAGATAGGAAATAGCGGTTGGATTCACGGATAGAGAGATAGAAGAGATGATTCTGAGTGATTTCGAGTGACCTTGCACAAATCTGTGCAAAGTTTTAGAGATTGATGGCTGATGGAGATGAGAGAAAAGAGAGAGCAAAGGGAAAGAGAGACGAACAGGTCTTTGAGTGAATGATTAGGGTTTGGGGGGATTGGGATTGGTCTCGTGGGTTAATGTTGAGAGATAGAACCTGGGTCGTTGGATCATTAGATCAATGGCCTAGATAATTTGGTCAATTAGGATATTTAGGGAGGATTTTTCGTGTCCCTTAGATTAGGAGATTTTGGACGGTAGGGATGAGATCTCTGGGATGGGTGTTTAAAATCAAAAGAAAATTGGAGATAAAACGTGAACCGTTGATTTAAGGAACAAACGGCTTGGATTCACTGTGTTTCTTGTGTGAGTGTTATGGAGAGGTGACGTGGCGCGAGCTCATTGGCTCTAAGAGAGTGGCCTCGATAGACACATTGGAATGGAGATGGGGTATTTGGACTGGGTATGTTTTGGATTGGGCTTGCACGTTTAGGCCAAAAATAATTTAAAAGATGGTCATTTTGCATTTAATTGAGAATTGCAATTGTAGCATTTTGTCTTTAATCCCTTTTAGAAATTAATTTAAATAAACTTAATAATATTTAATAAAATGTGATAAAATTATAATTATTATATATACAAGTAATTATTTTAATTATTTATTTATAAAAATACTTTATTTTCTAAATTGTAGCACTGATTTCAAATTTTTAACATAGTAGTCTAATTAACTAGAAATTAAAGAGTAATTTATTAAATTAACTATAGAACCTATGTAATGTATATAAAAAAGTTATCTTAATAATATTAAAATAGCAAATATATTCATAATTACATAATATTAATACTACGTGATTAATTTTAAAACTAATACTTAATTAATTTGTAAAAATAGGTTTTTATTACTAGAGAACACTTTAAAAATATTTATTGTAAATTATTAAGTATGAATAAATTAATTTAAAAAGGGAGGGTCAAAATTGGCCGTCAACAATGTCCTTACTTGTTAAATATATGCATTCACTTCTTACATGTCTTTAATTGTTACATGCTTCCACTTAATCATGCCTTTACTTATCCTCCACCCTTACTTGTTATATGCTCTTACATGTTACCTATCTCTTGCTTTCACTTGCTTATTTATTTATACTTGCTTCTATTTCACTTTACTATGTTGTATTGGATTATCTTAGAGGATTTATGCATTTTAGTTCCTTTTTATGTTACATTTTGAGATTCGTCATAGTTGGATGTTATATGTTGATCGGGTTGCAAGCTTGCAACAATATTATATGTATGTGTGGATCGGATTACACCACCGCGACAAAATTATATGTATATATGGATAGGGTTGCACGCCATATATATATATATATATAGGGGGGAGGGGGGATCGAGTTGCGTGTCGCAACGAAGATGATGTATTGTGGTTATTCTTGGTTGTTAGATTCCTCTATTGTATTGTGTTGTAAGACTGTGATTGGGATGATATGCTGGAGCCCTCTATTATTTATTTCTTATTCCGTTTAGCAAGTAGTTATTTGTTTCTCTATTTCGTTTTTGCTTTTCTGCTTATTACTCGTATCGGTTTATAGTGTGTGTCTTGTCATAGCCTCACTACTTCGTCGAGGTCAGGCTCGGCAGTTACAGAGTATATAGGGTCGGTTGTACTCATACTATAATTTTACACTTCTCGTGCAGATCCCGGTGTTGGTCCCAGCGGTGTTCAGCGATGATTGCTCGGACCCTTCCTTCCAGTAGACTCGAGTTAGTGTTAGGCGTTCACAGACTCTGAAGTCCCCTTCCTATCTTTGTTGTTGTTTACTTTGTGCCGGACAGTTTTGTATTTTATTTCAGACCTTATATGTAGTATTCTAGTTGCTCATGTACTTATTGCACCAGTTTGTAGGAATAGTTTTACAGTGTGTTGGTTGTACACATATTATTCGTTTTTGCTATTACGCTCTTTTATTTTAAAGTCTCTTTTATTGTTACATCACGTTAGTTATTGTTCTAATATTGGCTTGCCTAGGAAACAAATGTTAGGATCTATCACGGTCCCATGATTGAGATTTTGGGTCGTGACTATAACATGGGTAATCACCTAACTCCAAAGGGAAAGATCCATATCCAAGCGTTGATCATTTTATAATTAATGATCAATAACCAATAATCAATATCTTCTCAAAGTATCTGTAATGCCCAAATCCTCAATTTTCACAAAAACCAACTCTCCACTCATGCATATGTGTATGAAATAATATAATAAAAAAGTATCGGACAATAATAACAAGAATGCGGATAAAAGCTCATATGGTTAGAAAATGGATATGGCTAACCATGTAAGTCAATCTATCACAATGGCTCAATAAACTATTTAAGCATGCGTAGTTCAATCATATTATTTAATATGAGTCAATTAAGCCATATAAACACCAAATCATAAAGTAAATAAGACTAGTGTATGACTACAGACTTATAATAAAGCTTAACATGGAAAAATAACCTTTGTGCCCAATTAAATAAGTTATAACCTTAAGCATGCTCATGAATCATAATTATGAATTATCACGTAGTCATAGAATCGACTGAAACATGGATAATAACTTCATATAATCCAAACAAAGCATAACCCAAGTCAACAATATTGGATATGATCAAAACCTAGCTACGCATATATGTAGGAGTGTTTTTAAAGGCGTGGGCGTAAGGCGAGGCGTAAGCCCCGAGGCACGGGGCGTAAGCCTCATGGGTATTTAATTTTTAATAGNTCACAGTCTTGCGATATTATGATGGGAGCAGTATTTTAAAAGGCGTGGGCGTAAGGCGAGACATTTTACATATGCCTTAGCGAGGCATAAGCCCCGAGACACGGGGCGTAAGCCCCATAAGTATTTAATTTTTAATATTTTATAAAATAATATAATTTCAGTAAATATTTATAAACATGTAAAATTGTATAAAGATTAAAGAAAACTATAAATATTTGAAAAACATATATATAGATGTGCTCCATCCCCACAAAAAATTAGTCAACACAATCTATTATACGCTACTTACAAGCACAAGTAAGTTGAGTCAAAAAGAATAAAGTTTTCTACATGGAGGAACAAAAAAGATGACTTACCTGCAATTTGAACTTTGAATTTTAATTTGCTGTTATGAAGGAGAATGGAGTTCTCTTTATATTTGTTAAAAAAAATTGAATATTCGTTGCTTTTGGAAGATATTAGCTGACTAGCGGACAAAATAAAGAATTGAAAAAAATCATAAATTAGGGCTTCAATAAATAAAAAAGGTCTTGAGTTTTAAATTTAATACATTTCAGTTCCTTTTTAAAACTTTTGAGTAATTACAAGCTGACTTTTGAGAATTATATGAAGGACTTATTCAATAAATTTTATTTTAATTTGAAAAAGTCTCTGGGACTTACGCCTCACTACAAAAACGCGCATCAAATGCCCGCGTGTGTGCCCCGAACGCCCGTACGTATGCCCCGAATTGTTGGGCGTACACCTCTTGGGACATTCGCCCCACACCATCGCCTCGGAGAATTTTTGGTGCGCCTCGCCCCGAAAATGCCTTTTAAAACACTGATACGTAGCTTCTAAATCGAGCATCAAGTAGCAAATAGATCACCAATAAGGATAATTCCCTCTTAGCAAGATAGACAAGAGACTTACCTCCACCCGATAAGCTTCAACCTTCCAATATAGACTTTCCTCTAAAATCGAATTCCAAATGACTCGAACTAGTCAAAAACAACTCAATAACGTCAAATAAAGTTATAGGAATCAACTTTAACAACAAACCTTCAATTGTTAATCAAATCCCCAAAAGTCAACAGAAGTCAACCTAGGCCGACATGATCAAACTCAAGTCAAGGGGTAGATCCCGACTACTCATAACCTCGTGAGTCTAAATATGTGATTAGATTCCAAAATGGAGTCCAAATCGACACTCAAATCCCCCGAAATACACCATCTTAAGTTATAGACAAAAATCCTAAATTTCGCTTTAGAATTTCAAGTTTTAGGTGTAGAAATCCATGAGAAATTAAGATATATATATAGCTAAATCCAAATGAAAATTCCTTATCTCCAATGTAGTAGTAAAATTATTCTTCATAATCTCCACTACTCGAAGTCTAGGATTCAAAATATGAGAGAATGAGCAAAATTTCGGAATAAATCACTTAAGTGGTCTGCCCAGCATACACTTTGTGTAACGACCCGGCCGGTCGTTTCGAGAGTTATAGCCCATTTTTTCCCATTTCTACTTTTTTGTGTTATTCAGCTATATTATGTTATATTAGGTTAGTTGGTTTGGGACCGGAGTGGTTTCAGAGTGAATTGAGACGCTTAGTCTCTTAAGTAGAAACTTAAGTTGGAAAAGTTAATCGAATGTTGACCTATGTGTAAACAATCTCATATTTGAATTCTGATGGTTCTGTTAGCTCCGTTAGGTAACTTTGGACTTAGGAGTGCGTCCGGAATGTGATTTGGAGGTCCGTGATAGAATTAGGCTTGAATTGGCGAAATTGGAAAATTTGGCAATTTCGGTCGGCAGTGGAAAATTTGATATTGGGGTCGGAATGGAATTTCGGAAGTTTGAGTAGGTTCATAGTGTCATTTGCGACGCGTGTACAAAATTTGAGGTCAATCGGACGTGATTTGGTTAGTTTCGACATCGGTTGCCGAATTTGGAAATTTAGAAGTTCTTAGGCTTGAATCTGAGGGTAATTTGGTGTTTTGATGTTTTTTTGAGTGATTCGAAGGTTCGACTAAGTTTGTATGTTGATGTATAACTTGTTGGTATTTTTGGTTGAGGTCCCGAGGTCCTCGGGGTGATTTCGAGTGATTAACGGATTTGTCGAAGTTGGAAGATGCAGCTGAAGCTGCTGCTTCTGCTATTTCCGCACCTATGGAAGGAAGGATCGCAGGTGCGGGGCCGCTGCAGCTGAAGCTGCTGCTTCTGCTATTTCCGCACCTATGGAAGGAAGGATCGCAGGTGCGGGGCCGCTGCAGCTGAAGCTGCTGCTTCTGCTATTTCCGCACCTGCGGAAGGAAGGATCGCAGGTGCGGGACTGCTGGTGTGCATGGGGGTTCGCAGGTGCGGGCAATGCTGGGCTAGGCAGGATGCGTAAGTGCGAGAAGGCTATCACATCTGCGAGCCCGCAAGTGCGAGACCTGGGGCGCAGATGCAGAAGGAAGGAAGAAGGATGGCTTCGCAGATGCGGCACACCACGTGCAGGTGCGACAAGTTTGCCGCAGATTCAGAACCTGGGCGTTAAGTGATTTGCGCAGGTTCGGTTGTTGGGACCGCAGGTGCGGTCGCGCGGGTGCGAGAATCCTGGGCAGAATGTATACATTGCTCACTTCGCGAATTTTGGTGCATTCTTCACCATTTCTATTCGGTGTTGGAGCTTTTGGGAGAGATTTGAAGAGGGAATCAAGGGGATTTTCATTGAGGTAAGTTACTTGAGCCCTAATACTCATACATATGGTGATTTTCCGTTGTTTAATCATGTAATTAGTGAAAATGAGGGGTTAGGGCTTGGGATTTTTGGAGAGGTAATTTAAGGATTTGAAGGACCAAACGATGTCGGATTTTGATGAATTTGGTATGGTTAGACTCGTGAGTGAATGGGCTTTCTAGTTTTGTAAATTTTTGGCGGATTTTGAGACGTTGGCCCGGGGTCCGGGTTTGAGCCAATTTCGGGTTTTGGTCTAATTTTCTAGCATTTCTTGTGGGATTCATTCCATTAGCACGTATTGATGGTATTGTACTGATTTTGAATAGATTCCGAGTATTTGGAGGCCGAGTCCAGAGGCAAGAGCATTGCGGGGTAGTTATTTGACCGGTTTGAGGTAAGTAACGATTTTAAATCTAGTCCTAAAGGTATGAAATCCCAGATTTTTGTATCATTCTACTATTTTGAGGTGACGCACATGCTTAGATGACGGGCGTGTGGGCGTGCACTGTTGGGGATTGTGACTTGGTCCATCCCGTAGCAACTGTAAAGTTGCATATTTTGTGGAAATTATATGATACTTATATGTTTTAGAAAGAGTTTTTGTAAATTGGGCTGAATGCCATGTTTGGACCTTGTGCCAGTGCTGTTTGGACCCTTAGGGGCCTTTTCTTACTATCCTTTCACTGTTTTCGATTAAAAATCTATACTCAATCATGGTTATACTTGTTTACTGCATAACTCAGTTTTATGACTCTATTTTGATGTATATAAATGTTGTTTTGGGCTGAATGCCCTGTTTTTACTGAAATGCCCGAGTGGCTTGAGAGGTTTATGACTGAGTGAGGCCGAGGGCCTGATTTGTGAGGATATTTATGGGATCGGGCTGCACGCCGCATCATGTTTGATATAGGCCGAGGGCTTAAGTGATTTATGCCATGATTTGGCTTGATATAGTGCTTGGGCTGAAGGAGCCCCTCCGGAGTCTGTACACACACCCAGTGAGCGTAGGTACCTACTGAGTGCGAGTACCGAGTGCCGAGTGCTGAGTGACTAGGAGGCATGAGTGATTGTGAGGTATGCCCGAGTGGCAAGAGTGATTGTGAGGTTTGCCCGAGGGGCTGTTTATGATTTCATCATTTTTGCTCACCTTTGCATTTTTCCTCTGTTTGAAAACTTTTGAAAAATATCCTTAAATGATTTTTAACTGGAACTCGATTTAGATGAGATATTTTGATGCAAATCCTAATTTTAAAAGCATGAGGTATTTTACTGAGATTTCATGATATAAATGTTATATGCTTTAATGCTCGTCACTACTGCTCAATATTTATTTATTTTTGTTACTTACTGAGTTGGCGTACTCATGTTACTCCCTGCACCTTGTATGTGGATCCAGGTGTAGCTGGACACGTTAGCGATTGTTGATTATTCTGGTTGCAGATTTTTTCGGAGATAGCAAGGTAGCTATTTGGCGATCGCAGCCCCTGATCTTCTCCCTCT